CCACATCCTTCACTTGGGGCCATTGTGAGTTACCCTGAGTCTCTAGGCCCTTCCTTCCCCCAAATGTCTCTCAGTGCAATAAGGGGGTGAGTATTCTTGAGAGGCAGAATTGTCTGTACATTCTTGTCAGTACTCTTGCCCCTCTCTCGATCCTGAGACTCACAGCTCAAAGCTGTAGTGGTCCATCCATGATTTTGGAGTGCTGGGTTTGGGTGTTGGTTTCATTGACAATTTCATACTTCCCCTATGGGTCAGGCAGAACAAACAGTGCACGAGGCTTCTCAGATGCTCCCCGGAAGGCACCGGTCAGCCAAGCTTTTCCTCTCTTTCCATGCACCCTGTGGTCATTTCTTGAAGCAGGGATGAGAGGAATGGATCAGATAAGGCTTTGCTTTAAAATCTGTGGGCTCTCTAAGATAGCTAGGAGCATGGGAAGCCCCAAAGAAGAGGTAGTGCAGTGTTTTCCAGTGCAAGATGCCAGCCTGTGATGGATTAAATGTTGCAGCACAGATAATTTTTGCAGTGAGAAGTAAGCAGTTGTCCAGGGCAGAGGATTAAGGGCTTAAGAGTGGGTGGGGTGGCTGAGCTCTGTGTACAGCTTCACCCCATTGGAATGACTTGGGCCAGCAGGGCAAACCGAGGGGGAGCTCTGTTGTACAAACATGGGTGCTTTTCCAAAATGCCAGCCAAACCCCAAATTCAAGGATCCCAAGATATGGCTGCTGTTTCTAAAGGGTTAGAAAGAGGCAGTGAGCATGGTCACTAGAGGGCCCTGCACTTCACCATGCACTTTAGGTGGCTTAAGAACAAACTGATAATGTATTTTACCTTTAGCCATACAAGTCTGTTTCTTCCCTCAAAATCCAAAGTTCCCTGCTGCTGGCTGTTTTATGAAGAGAAGATGTTAACACTTTGTCTGAGCTCAAGGCCTAGGAAGGGAATCCTTTCGCAGGATCCTGCTGTTGGACTTCTGTCCCAGAGCCAGAGAGGGGCAGCACTGCTGGTGCGTCCCAGCTGGTGACAAAACCACTGGGGGTGATTTGGTTCTTCCCGGGGCTGCTGCCAGCAGGGCAGGGTGGGGTGGCAGCTCTGCAGCCTTTGCTGACAGAGGTGGGGCTGATGGCTCCTGGCTCGAGCTCTAAATGCAGGATCCTACAGCACCAAGGCATTGCCATGTGGAAGGGGTACCTGTGACTATGGGTCTCTTCCAGACCTGCTGACAGAGCTGTCAGTGCTTCCAGCCCTTCCACTGGACATGAAATCATGCAGACTGTAGGGTACCAGTGGCCAGCTCTGGGAATTGCTACAAGCAGGATGAACGAGACAAATATTTTACTAGGATAATCCCCCTAGAAGGCCAGCTAATTAAAAAAGTATTGCAGGACTTCTCGTTGGGTTTTTACCCTGTCAAATCTGCCAGCAAATGTTTTGTGCTCAGTTTTGTTTGGGTGATGGGTGGATGTCTGTGCATCTCGTGGAACAGCCTTGTGAGGCCTTACAAGGATGTGTTTGCAGCTCACTTGTCCAGCCCATGCCACGTTCAGGTGGCACCAAACACCACACAGATGTTTTGCCCTACGGGGTGGCAGGAGAGGGGTGCTGAGGGAGGGGACTGTGCTGGGCTGAATTAGAAAATGCTTCATGTGGGATTTGATGAAGTAATTTTCTTTACTTAGTCAAAGTAGGCTTTCCTGCAGATTGTCTCTCTGCCACAGACAGCAGTTTTTCTAGTTGTACATTGGTACTTCAAAGACCATTGGCCTAACCTTTGCAGTTTCTCCTGTGTCTCTTTCTCAAAAGACAATTGTGTTTAATGCACCTCATTTTCTGACTTCAGACTTCAGACCTTTTCAGGAAATGGGGAACTTAAATAACTCCTGTGTCCTTTTCACTTTTTTATTATTTTTCTTTACCTTTTTCTCTACTATCTTTTTCTCATCCTTTCACCATTTCTGGTCACAAGGTTACTATCTGGCCACAATTATCCTGATCACAAGCCTAATATCTGGCTCAACAATCAGCACAGATGAGGACAAAAAACTTACCAAATGGTGTCTCTTCTGGGGAAGGTGAGGAGGACAAGCCCGTTGATCTGTCCCTGCAATTTTGTGTTGAATTCTCATCCCCCAGTTAGATCCAAAATTGGGGTTTTATACCTGAGTAACCACTGATATGCAAAGTTCTGTGGCTGTGGCTGTACTCAGACCTTGCACTGTTTGTGGGTGCATTTCACAGAACAAATGAACATTAGGGGGTGGATTGGTTTACAGAGCATTTCTTGCTAACACAGACCACAAGACCACTGCTTAATCCATTTTGAGAGGCTGGTGGGTGCAAATGCAAAGACAGATTTTTAGAAATTTGGGTGAGTTTAGTTTCCTTTTTTAGGATTCCTGTGAAGCTGCGCTGGTGAAAAGTCACAGGAAAGATCATTACTAGAGAAACCACAGAAGCAGAGTGCAAAATAAATGTAATGACAAAAGTCCTGCACCAGTAGTGATCGGGAGCTGGCTCTGAGTACAGGTTTAAATCACATTTCTCCCACAATTACACCCTGCCATGGAGAGCTCTGCCTTGGCTATTCAATCAGAGTATGTAAGATAGCATTACATTTGAGTTACAAACACTGTAATGCAAATCTTCCTGAATGTAAAAAATCCCAAATATTTATGAATTGTTCAATTGTTCAGGAATTGCTCCTTGCATTCTTGGGTCAGATCTGCTGTTGTACTTCCACCCAGAAAACTGTGTTTCCTCTTAAAAATGGGACTCTGGGACTGCACAGCCACAGTTTCTATCCATGTCTGCCCTGATGTGGCTCTCTGAAAGGGCAAGGATAGGTCAGGGCCTGAGATTTTCTGTACAACTTCCTTGTAGCTTTTTCTTTCAAGATTAACTTTTAGAGACCAAAATTCCATGTCAAATCTGGATAAATGAAATGTAGTTATCTGGTATTTGGGGATTGGGATATTGTTGTATAATTCATTTTTAGCTCTGGGAAAATACTTCCCAAACAGCATCTTCAAAGAGCTGTTGTGAATGTGAGTGTGTGCACAAACCAGTGATCAGGACTGTCACAGACACACCCTGTCAAGCACAGGAAACTGCTCTGGGGGTGACTGTACAGTGAAGTGTTGTCTGCACCAAGGGCTCAGGCTGCAGTGCCTGTGCTGGGAGTGCATGGCTGCTCTTCCCTGCTCAGATTTCACACGGACATCACTGCTGGGACACTTCCCAGAAACTACTGATTGCTTTAACCCTTTGGTCCCTGGAAAGGGGGCACCACGCTCCAGGCTGTGCTTTGAAGGGCAGCATCCCAGCACTGGAGTGGGAAACAGCTGGGTCCCCAAGGGTGAGTGGGGTAACAGATCCTTCGGTGGAAAGCGCTCATGAGGGATCAGCAGCAGTGTCTCTCCTAGCAGGAAACACCATGAAAATGCATCCTTTAGTTCCAAATATGTGTGTAGTGAGAAAGGTGGCACGTGTGCGTCCTGCCAAGAGGGCAAGAGGGCACACAGCACACTGAGGGATGCAGGTGCCCATCTGGGGGTGTTTTCAGCCACCCCCACACTGCACCAGCAGCTCCACCCTGTGCCAGGACCATTCCCAGAGCCTGGTCTGCTCCACCCTGTGCCAGGACCATTCCCAGAGCCTGGTCTGCTGCCTCCTCTCCTGCCTTCAGGGTCCTCTGGCTAGGGACCAACAGGAATATGGCCCCTGAAGTGGCTCTTTGGTGGGCTTGTGTGGGAAATCCACTGTCCACTTGGGAAAAGGTCACTGTGAATTTAACATGGCAATTATCAGGCACAGTTTAACAAGCCATAAACCCTTGGTGATTTACACTTATAAAAGGGAAACCAGAAGCACTCAGTCTTGATTTGCTTTAACCATATAAGACCTAAGAGGACAGTCTTTGGTTAGGAATGTCTGCACGCAGAACTGATCTTCCAGTCCTAAATACTATCATTCCATTTAATTTGGTGCTTGTGAGAATTTAAACTACGCAACCAAGTCTCTAAAATGCTTTTCTTAATATGCTTTTGTATGTGCATGGACTGCTTTGGGTGCAAGATGGCAGATTTGGTCCCAGAACTTGTCTGGTGTGTGTGAACAGTTTTCTACAGAGATGATTGGGAAAGAGGGTTTATCTGTGGCATTTTAGCCATTTGGAGTATTTTTATTTAAAGTAGGATAAACATCCAAAGTATACTGTCTTTCCAGAAATGTTCTCCCCTGATCATGTAAATGGCTTCATAATACTTGCATTAATCCAAATATTATCATACTTACATTTCAACTTCTTAATTATTTATAAACCAAAATCGAAACCTAAACCAATAGTATTAAAAAAAAATAGAGAAGAAAGAAACCTGTCTTTCAGTGGAAAACTTCATGAAAGATGTTCTCATGCAGAACTTAATCTTGTTATTTGAGTGCTGCATTTTCAGGGTTTTGTTGTCAAACCCTTTTTTTTTGTGTATTAAAGGGAAAGTCCTGTGTGTAAGGTGCTGGCTGATGGACTGTTGCCATCTCCTGCTTGTGCAGCTGCACTGCATCCCCGGCTGGCTGGGAGCACAGCCTGCCCAGGGCACCTGCCAGCTCCTGCCAACCCACCTTCACTGGCTTGCTTATCTTCTGTCCGAGCAGCTTTTGCTCGAAACAAATCTGATTTGATCCCCAGTGAGTCCAGCACAAACTGATCCACATGAGCATCACTGGCTTGGGAGGATTCAGTGCAAGCACGGGGTGAGATGGTGTTTGAACTGGTTTCTGAACCAGCCAGCCAAGCTGCCTACCTACCAGAAGAGCCCCGAGCCCCGCGGAGCCAGCCCGGTCCCGCGGGGATGGGATTTGAGGTGCACGTTGGTGAGCTGACACAGAAAAGCTGAACACAACTGCACATCCCTTAATGAGCCTCCATGGTCAGAGACATACAGAGACATTTTATTTACATGATATACAAGCACTCTCACCAGCCAGCAGAGTCTCTGCAGGTGCCCTCAGACGTCAGTGTACTCGTGGTAGATGCGCACCTCCGACCTCCTGACGCTCTGGAGGGACCTGATGCTCTCGCTCCTGGTTCTCATGTTGGATTTCCTGAACAGCCTTCGTGAGAATGATCGACACATGAAAAAATAAATGATTGGATCCAGACAGACGTTGCATGCGGACAGGAACAGTGTCATTTCCTTACAATAATATAAGATTTTATGTGCAGAGTCATCTAAAATTTTGTCCAGATGACTAAAAGTAAAGGGTATTCGACACAAATGGTAGGGCAGAAAGCAGGTGAAAAACACGGCCACGACAACCCTTATACTCTGGTTGTGCTTCCGCTTTCGGCTGGACGAGCTAATGAACTGTTTGCTGGATTTATAGATGTACCTGGAGATGGCAATGTAACACCCTATCAGCACTACCAGCACCACCACGAACATGCAGGTGTTGATGTAGATGACAGCCGAGTGCCACTTGACTCCCAGGGGAGACTTCAGCTTCAGGCAGTCGTCGACGTTTCTCTTGGTGGGGTAGCCGTTGGTGAGGATCAGGTTTGGCAGCGCCAGGAACGCCATCACCACCCACACACAGGCTGACAGGATCTTGGTGAAGGTGATGCTGTACATCCTGGAGTCTCCAAAGGGCTTCACCACCTTCAGGTAGCGGTCGATGCTGATGAGCCCCAGGAAGACGATGGTGGTGTACATGTTGGCGTAGAACAGCACCGTGGTGTAGCGGCACAGGAAGGAGTTGAAGTGCCACGGCCCCAGCCGCGAGTCCTGGATGATCTTGAACGGGAACGTCAGCGTCATGAGCAGGTCTGCAACCACAATGTTCTTGAGGTAAAATATGAAGCTGGTTTTGTTTCTGATGTGGAAGAAGATCCACACTGCCAGGCCGTTCAGCAGGAGGCTGGCCAGGAAGATGACGAGGTAGAGCACGGGCAGGACGATGGTGGTGAACTCATCACGCGCGGAGCGCCCCAGGGAGCTGGCGTTGGGCGAGCTGCTGTTGTCTGGGCTGAGGTGATTGTCTGTGGGAATGAGGGAAAACAACAGGTTAAAGCTCTCTGGTGTTTTACAAACGGGGCCAGTTTAGAGCTGTCCTCTCTCTGGGCAGTCTGAGGCTGTTCGGGGGAACCATAAATCACAACTGCAGGTTGTCAGCTCCTGCATTCTTGACAGAATGCGACTTGTGAGCCGAGATGTTTGTCATGAGACAGGGCTCTGGAGAGACTCCTCAGGCCTATCAGAGCGCTCATTTAAACTTAGTTTACTTAAATGTATTTAAAAATCACAGTCTCTGGGGGATTTTAAGATTTCCTATGTAAATGTTTGTGAAAAACTTATAAACGCTGCCATAAAATGACAGTACATTTTGTTTCATGTTGTTTATGCTCTGACCTTGGCTGGTGAGGCAAACCAGGCTGGCTGTGGGGCAGTGCTGGGCTCTGCTCAGGCAGCCCATGCTGGAATGACTAATTTCTTTCAAATGTTGGTAGGAACTGACAGTAATAAAATAAACACTTATCAATCACTTATATTTACATTGCTATTTTACCTGGCAGTTTTCCATAGGACAAATTGTACCCCATCCTTTGCACTGCTGTAGGTTTTCAGCTGAAATGCTCTTCAGAAGTCCCACTGGCTGCCGTGGATTTGGGATGCAGCAGGGCCTATGCCAGGATGATGTTCTGGTAAAAAAAATTCCAAATTAAAACCAAAGCAAAATAGGAGAGCCCACCTTTGTGTTCCCTGCCTGGAGAGGAGCTTTGTGAAAGGAGCTTCCACTGGAATTCCCAGTGAAGGGCTGGCTGAGGGCTGGGTACTGCACTGTGCTTCTGTTGTCAGGTCTTCATTCTTTTCTCGCTCATTTCAGTGATGGATGACCATGAGTGGATTTTTTTTTTTTTAAATCATCACTCACTTCTTGAAGTAAAAAAGTTTAATCAGGAATTATGATACTTGTGTGTAACTTCATAGTGTATCCCCCACACCGGGGTGGAAATGGTGGAAATGGCAAGTTCCTGTTCCTTTTCTATAGAAACTGGCACACAAGGAACACTGAAACCTGCAGAAACTCATTTATGCCATGATGGCATCGTGGTGTGTGACATTGTTGAGAGGGATTTTGCCAATACCAGTTTTAAGGCTGTGCTCCAAATAGTTCTTTCCTCTATCAATATGCAAACACAGGAACTTTGCTGGGACTCATATTTTGCTTACAAGTTTTGATAGGAAAACTGGCTAAATGGTTCTGATCTCACCAATTCCACTAGACCTGGCTGTTCTCATGGAGATGAAGAGAGGATGGAGCTCCTCCAGCTGTTTTGCAGATCAGAACCTGTTTTAGCTGCCATGCCCATGTAGGAACAGTGTTGTGTGGCACTAGATGGCACCAAAGCAAGTAATGGTGTGTGAAAGCATCAGTAAAAACTTTAATTTGGATATTTTAACCTCTTTATCAGTCTGGCTTCTTGGCTGGCCCTGTTTGCTCTGACAGTAAAAAGACTGCCAAGGGTGTTGCAGGTATTTTGTTTTCAGTGGGTCTGAGCAGCAATAATCCATCATGCTTTGCTGCTGTTGAGGATCTGCAGCTCTCTTTTCTGCCCAGGAGGCACAGAGATCAAAAGAGGACCTGATTTTATGAAAAGATGCATATCTAACTCCTTATGTAAATAAGGTGCTTATTTCCCTTCTTTTCAGAGTTTCTTTTAAGTCTGCATAATTCCTGGCCCCTGGAAAACTCCTCGTTCTCAGGCTCTTCGGGCAAGTGCTCTACTAAACCCTCAGTCCAGAGAAGTCAGTGAGGTATTGGATGTGTGGTCTGGGATTTGAGTCAGAGCAAGAGGTGGCTCCTGTGTCCTCTGTGGGGCTGGGGATGGATCTGTGTGGAGAGGACTGCACACGTGCTGCACTGCACAGTCCCAGCCATGCCACTTGTGTCCCCTGGTCCGTGAAGGTGTGACGCCCTGGGATTGCCCAGGGACATCCAGACCTCTGGGAAGCCATCCTGGGAGCTGTGTGCTGCTGTGCAGGCCACCTGGGACCAGCCTTGGCATGGATGTCTCTGTGTCTTCTTGTTCCTGATGCTTTTAATGTCAAAATAGGTTCCAAAATGATCTCAGAAAACTGTGGATCAGAACGAGAAAGCAGCAAATTCTTCACCAGTGTAACCTGTGCCAGCTGAGCTTCGGGCTGTGTGCCCTGCCAGCACTCCTGACCTCAGCAGAGGCTCTGGTGAGTGCAGGGTGGAGGAGAGAGGCAATACCTGCGACTGTGTGCCCTCCTTACACACCAAAGGCTCTCCTTGGTGCTGCTGGAGCTCAAAGCTTTAAAGGCTTCACCAAACAGGTCTGGGCAGACGTGCAGGGCAGTGCTGCTGCGATGGTCCTGCTGCACAGAGCTGCTGTGGGATGGAAGGTGAGGTGCACAGCCATGGTCCTGCTCAGACTCAGAGCTCCAAAGGTGTTTCCAGCAAAGGTGCTGTGGTGGGCAGAGTACTGAGAGCAGTGTGGCTTCATTATTTACATACTGGGGTAGGTGATCAAGTGTAGAGCTGAGGTATCTGTACTCAGTAGTTTCATTCTTTCTGACAAAGCCTGCTATATTGCAGGCTCCAGGAGTAGGAAAAAATATTATATGGAGAATTCACTCTTTTTCATGTGTTTTATTGCACAGGAGATAAACTGTGTTCTCTTTAAAGAGTATTCATGGGTATTTTGTAAATGCTCACTGACTGCATACTCTAGTTGTGGATTTCTCACTTGTCTGAATACAGTATTTTTGTGTTATAACCCTCTCTTGTCCAGTTACCAGGTCACTTTCCTCATCCATTTCACCCTAAACTGCTGTCTCAGTCTGCTATACAAACACATTCTGCTTGGGAGTCTTTGAAGATGCCTTATCCAGGCAGCTTTGTAAACCAGAATACTTTTTACTTCTTGTAGCTTCTGTATTTTGTCCATGGTTGGTGAGATAATCCCTTGCTGCTGATGTGGACAGGCTGGTTTATGTGCATGACTGATGTAACCTCAGAGAAGAAATGAAATAACAGGCTGCATGGCAGCCTTCAGGGTCAGGTGGGTAGGGAATGACTGCAGAGTTTTTCTAGTGACTAAGGCTCTAAGTTGCCTTCCTGTTTAAAGAAATTGTATATCCTCAAATCTAATATTTTTTCATCTTATTTAAAACTTTTTAGAATTAGTAAACTCTCTTTGTGACCTAGACCAGCTATTCTAGGTCATGGGGCTGCAGAGTCTTAAGTAATAGTTTTTATCTGAGCCCATAACTTGTTGATGTCTGCCTTCTTGCCAGTCCCTCTGCATTTGTCCCCATAATGTTGGGTAAATGACAGAGTTAATGTAGCAATAGACGTGTAAGGCAGACAGTAAACTTGCTGTGGGCTGGCTGCAACGCTGTTTGTTCTTTTCCGTTGCCCATCAGAACCAAATCACAGAGCTGTTTGTAAAGATTTAGGAGGAAAAAGCATTGGTGCAGGGTAAGAGCATGAAGCAGCTGCAGGCAGCCATGGAGCCTGTGTCACCCCACACCTATCCTGTGTCCCCTGAGCCTGCTCCCATCCCATGCTCCCTGAGCAAGCCTCGATGTTCTGGTTTTCCCTGCTTGCATCTCTTTATTTTTGTGTTGTCTCTCGTTCACTACAAGTCTGGTCCCAGTAGCCAGGGCACTGCCACCTTTCCCTTCCTTGCAGGCTTCTGTCAAAAATGGTCCATCTACCTTTTGGTGAAGTAATATGTTAATGTGCTGGTAATGCACCGTGGAATAACCTGAAATTCCTGTTTGAATTGCTGCCTACATCAGTGAGCTACCCTTCTGCTGTCTTGTGCTTCGCACACTCGAATGGCTCAGGTGTGTTTGTAGCCAGTGCATCCTGGTGCTGGCCCTGCCCTGGTGGGGTGGGAGCTCCTGGGGCCCCTGAGCAGTGCTGGAGCCGGCTGTGCCCCCTGCTCTGGCTGAGCACGGGGGTGTCAGAGGCAGCCAGGGGCACGGGTCCCTTCCTGCAGCGGGCAGAGGGGAGAGCAGCCCTGGCCTGGCCGTGGGGCCAGCTCCGGGCTCCAGGTGCCAGCCACGCTGCAGAGAGGCTGCAGGGAAGGGCTGGGGTAGAACCGTCCCCAGCTGTGGCTTATGGTGCCTGTCTTCTCAGTCCTGGCCAGAAATGGGAACCTGCTCAGAAAGCTGCTCGTCTGCTCCAGCATCTGGCACAAAACTCCTTCTGCGTTTTCAGGTTCCTCCTTGAACTTCCCCCCTTCCAGCCCAGCTCTCCTCTCACTTGTTTCAGAGCAGAGTTCTGCTCGGGGAAGCTGCTGTGCTGCCGGCTTCCCTCTGCCTTCGGCTGCTGTCCCCAGGGCTCTGTCCTGTCCCTGTCCTGTCCGTGTGTCCTCAGGAGAGCCGGGAAGGGCAGTGGTGAGGGCGCAGACCCGCGCTGACATCCTCGCTGGGATAACACGGGAGCAGCAGGCTCTGTGCTGGGACACGCTGCTGGCAGCAGCTGCTGCTGGCAGTGCCCGCTGTCCCCAGGCTCCTGTGGCCAAGGGGAAAGTCACCTGTGAGCTGCAGAGCCCCGCACGGGCACCGACAGCACGGGCTGCTCTCCCCCAGCGCCCTGGGACAGGCGGGAGTGCCCGGGCCGGGTGTCCCTGGCGTCAGGACAGCCCCAAGGTGTGCCCAGCATCAGGACAGCCCCAAAGTGTGCCCAGCATCAGGACAGCCCCAAAGTGTGCCCAGCATCAGGACAGCCCCAAGGTGTGCCCAGCATCAGGACAGCCCCAAAGTGTGCCCAGCATCAGGACAGCCCCAAGGTGTGCCCAGCATCAGGACAGCCCCAAGGTGTGCCCAGCCTCTCCCTGTGCTGAGCTGAAACCTCACAGCCTGCCTGCACCTGTAGCTTGTTGTACGGTTGTACAAACAACCGGCATAGCAAAGCCCTGGAGTAAGCATTTGATAATGCCATCTAGCATGCAAAATTCTCATTTTGGGGGAATATGCCCTTAGGATTACAGGATTTCCTCACTTTAAAAGGAAATAGTAAAAGCACAAATCTAACTTTCCCAAAACCACTTTTGGGATATTTTGTCCAAATGTAGCCATTAATTTTTTTCTCATTTCAAGTGAATTATTATGAACTCTAATGATCCCCTGTGTGAGATAGCTGACAGGAGATTTGTTTGAGCTGTCAAGTTCTTTTTTTTTTTTCCTGTCTTTTGGACTGCTCCTGGCTAAAAGTTCACGGATTATATTACCTACTTTGAATTGGATTTTCTGTGCAGAGTTTGCAAGATCTAGTAACTGTTGTTAATTGTTGCAGCAAGACTGTTTTTAAGGTTATTTGCAGAACCTAAAGCTGCATTAATTCTCTTTCCCCTTGCATAAGCACCATAGCTCCTGGGTGATGCTGCTGGAGCTTCCCACTTTGCTGCATTAATGACCAGGACATGCAGTGTGCACGGCCAAAGGCAGGAGCTACCTGCAGTGGTTGTTGTGAGTCTGCTCAGGTGTGCTGGGCTGTGGTGCTGTGTGCTGGGCCCAGCACCTCACTGCCACCTCAGACGAGGTGGGGTTGGAGTGTCGTGGC